GGGGGAGGTGTGTGAGTGATGGAGGTATGTGGGTCATGTAGGTGAGGGGGAGGTGTGTGGGTGGAGGTGAGGGGAAGGTGTGTGGGTGATGTAGGTGAGGGGGAGGTGTGTGGGTGGAGTTATGTGGGTGATGCCTCCCAGCATACATAAGGGGGATTACCAACAGACCCCTGGCAGTCTTCAAGCTGGCACTGGACAAGCACCTAAAGTCGGTTCCTGATCAGCCGGGCTGTGGCTCGTATGTGGTTTGCGTGCAGCCAACAGTAACAGCTGGTTGATCGGGCTCTGATCCACCAGGAGGCCTGGTCACAGACCGGGCCGCGGGGGCGTTGACCCCCGGAACTCTCTCCAGGTCTCCAGGTAGATGTAGGTGAGGGGGGAGGTGTGTGGGTGGAGATGAGGGGGAGGTGTGTGGGTGATGTAGGTGAGGGGGAGGTGTGTGAGTGAAGGTGAAGGGGTGATGGAGATGACGTGGGGGAGGTAATGTGTTGTAATATTGCAGTGTTTGTACTGACCTCATGCACCCTCCCTATCACCAACACTTCCCCTCATCAACTTCTCCACCCTCACCAGTATTCCCCACCCATCACCGACACTCCCCACCCCTCACCAACATTCCCACCACTCACCAACACACTTCACCAATCACCAGCATTCCCCACCAATTACCACACTTTCCCCCCCTCACCAACATTCCCCATCACTCACCAACACTCCCCACCCTTCACCAACATTCCCCAACACTCGTCAACACCCCCCAGCCTTCACCAACATTCCCCACCACTCACCAACACTCCCACCATTCACCAACATTCCCAACACTCACCAATACTTCCCACCCCTCACCAATACTCCCCACCACTCACCACCCCGTTCACCAACACTCCCCACCCCCTCACTAACACTCCCCACCACTCACCACCCCTTTCACCAACACTCCCCACCTTCACCAACACTCCCACCCCTCACCAACACTCCCCACCACTCACCACCCTTTCACCAACACTCCTCACCAACACCCCCCCACTCACCCACCCCCTTCACCAACAATTCTCACCCTTCACCAAACAATCCCCACCCTTCACCAACACTCCCCACCACTCACCACCCCCTTCACCAACACTCCCCACTCCTCGCCAACACTCCTCACCCCCTTCACCAACAATTCCCACCCTTCACCAACAATCCCCACCCTTCACCAACACTCCCCACCCCTCATCAACACTCCCCACCACTCCCCCACCCTTCCCAAAATCCCCACCCTCACCAACAATCCCCACCCTTCACCAACAATCCCCACCCTTCACCAACACTCCCCACCCCTCATCAACACTCCCCACCACTCACCACCCCCTTCACCAACATTCCCCACCCCTCACTAACACTCCCCACCCCTCACTAACACTCCCCACCCTCACTAAACAACTCCCCACCCCTCACTAAACACTCCCCACCCTTCATCAACAATCCCCACCCTTCACCAACACTCCCCACCCCTCACTAACACTCCCCACCCCTCACTAACACTCCCCACCCTTCACTAACACTCCCACCCCTCACTAACACTCCCCACCCCTCACTAACACTCCCCACCCTTCATCACACAATCCCCACTCTTCACCAACACTCCCCACCCGTCACTAACACTCCCCACCCTTATCATCAACAATCCCCACTCTTCACCAACACTCCCCACTCTTCACCAACACTCCCCACCCTCACTAACACTCCCCACCCCTCACCAACCCTGATACGTCATAATCTCTGAAATACTGTGAATACAGATAAAGCACTCAATGCTTACCCAGGTAAGCCCGCCACAGTCACACCAACACCACTCAACTAACCACCCACAATGATTCAGTTTTATCAAATATATCCGTATGGCCGCGTTAAAATACAGTATTGTATTCTTAAAACTGCGTATTACTGCGTTGAAAATACACTGTTATTAAAACTTAATGCGACATTCTGTATGTTGCATTAAAATTAAGCTCCGAAAGACAATGTTTTGAAACGACTCACGAATTGTGTTAAAATGATTTTATCAACATATGTACTACAAGGTAGATCATGGTAATGAATATGATGTTGTGTATATGAACTTCAGTAAGGCTTTTGATAGAGTCCCACATCAGAGACTATTGAGGAAAATTAAGGCACACGGAATAGGAGGAGAAATTTTTTTCCTGGACAGAGGCGTGATTGACTGATGGCGGCAGAGAGTTTGCATAGATGGGGAGAAATCAGAGTGGGAAGCTTCACGAGCGGTGTTCCACAGGGATCAGTGGTGGGCCTCTTGTTGTTCACTATCTACATAACCGACATAGATGAAGGAATAAATAACGATATAAGAAAGTTTGCCAATGACACTAAAATAGGCCGACGAATTCATTCTGATGAGGACATTAGAACACTCCAGGAAGATTTGAATAGACTTATGAAGTGATCGGAGAAGTGGCAGATGCAGTTTAATATAGATAAATGCAAAGTTCTAAACAATGGACAGGAAAATAACCATGCCACATATTAACTAAATAATATAGATCTTAATATTACTGATTACGAAAAGGATTGGGGAGTTCTGGTTAGCAGTAATCTAAAGCAAAGACAGCAGCGAACAGAATCCTTGGTTTCACGTCAAGAAGCATAAATAATAGGAGTCCTCAGGTTGTTCAACTCTATATATCCTTGGTTAGGCCTCATCTAGATTATGCTGCACAGTTTTGGTCACAGTATTACAGAATGGATATAAATGCTCTGGAAAACATACAAAGGAGGATGACAAAGTTGATCCCATGTATCAGAAATCTTCCCTATGAGGACAGACTGAGGCCCTCAATCTGCACTCTCTCGAAAGGCGTAGAATTAGGGGGGATATGACTGAGGTGTATAAATGGAAAAAAGGAATAAATAAAGGGTATGTAAATAGCGTGCTGAAAATATCTAGCCAAGACAGGACTCGCAGCAATGGTTTTATGTTGGAAAAATTCAGATTAAGGAAAGATATAGGTTTAGTAAAACGTTGTGTAGTTTTAAAAATAGGTTAGATAAATACATGAGTGGGTGTGGGTAGGTGTGAGTTGGACCTGCTTGTGCTATTAGGTCAGGTGCCGTGCTCCTTCCTTAAGTGAATGTGACGTGACCTGACTAGGTTGGGGCATTGGCTTAAGCCGGTAGGAGACTTGGACCTGCCTCGCATGGGTCAGTAGGCCTGCTGCAGTGTTCCTTCTTTTTTATGTTCTCATGTTCTTATGTATGCAACAAAAATACTAAATGTCCTATATATGCAACAAAAGTACTATAAATGTCCTATATATGCAACAAAAGTACTATAAATGTCCTATATATGCAACAAAAGTACTATAAATGTCCTATATATGCAACAAAGGTACTATAAATGTCCTATATATGCAACAAAGGTACTATAAATGTCCTATATATGCAACAAAAGTACTATAAATGTCCTATATATGCAACAAAGGTACTATAAATGTCCTATATATGCAACAAAGATAATATAAATGTCCTATATATGCAACAAAGGTACTATAAATGTCCTATATATGCAACAAAAGTACTATAAATGTCCTATATATGCAACAAAGGTACTATAAATGTCCTATATATGCAACAAAGGTACTATAAATGTCCTATATATGCAACAAAGGTACTATAAATGTCCTATATATGCAACAAAGGTACTATAAATGTCCTATATATGCAACAAAGGTACTATAAATGTCCTATATATGCAACAAAGGTACTATAAATGTCCTATATATGCGCCAAAGGTACTATAAGTGTCCTATATATGCGCCAAAGGTACTATAAGTGTCCTATATAGCGCCAAAGGTACTATGATTGTCACTGTGGCATGCGTCGAGTACGTTACAATAAATTTATTCGACGTTGCCACACACACTGGCACGCCTCTCGACTAGCGACCTGGCAGTTCAGAATATATCAGTCCTGGATGAATTTTCCAGTTCAATCAACCAATAACATGAGAGCTGGCCCTGCTAGCCGAGGTGACGTCATGCTTGACCACCTGGCTGCGGGTAGACACTCAAGCTGGTCTAGACCACTCATACTCTCTTGTATTCTGAAGTGTAGCCTACTGCTATGAGTGGTTCTTTGATTTCTGTCTTACTATTATACTGCTCATTTAATTCTGTAAATAGTGTACATATCGTGGTGAAGGAATATACAGGCGAAGAAGCAATTGCTGTGTCTGTCTTGCCCCTCATTGCCAGGTTGCTCTTTGACCGCTGACTTTAGTTACGGCTACGTACAGCAGGCCCTGAATTTGCTACCTGTGTTCGTAATAGTCCTCTATCCACCACAAAACTGGGTAGGTCAGATCATCGTCTCCTTCAATACAGTTACTCCGGGAACTGCTTCCGCTAAGATGGAAGTCACCTAGCATTGTCGAGCACAACCGTAGTGGTGGAGCTGATGATTGTGGTGTTACTGGTGGTGGTGGTGATAGTGACAGAGGTGGTAGCGTTGGAAGTTGCGCTTGCTGTAGGGTTGTGGTGCTGGAAGTAATAGTGGTGGTAGAAGTGAAGGTTGTAGTAGTTACACATAAATCTTACACGGTCAGCGGTACATACAAGATTAGAGGAGCTGTACTGAAGTTTAACAGCATACAGCGAGCAAGAAAAACAGCTTGACTTGCCAATCCGTCAAGTAGGTGGCCTGGTATAACACCGGGTCGCAGTAGCCATGATCTCATGAGCCATCAACAGGAAGACAAAAGATAAGACTGAAGGTATCACACAGATGGGAGAGAGATGGATCTCTTAATACATCAGTCTTAGTACCTTGAATAATTCCAAGAACCATAGCCACGTAAACACGAGGTTATGAGTACCGGGTATGAAACATAATGACAGCAACTAAGAATGCCTTGGATTTGGTTGATGAGGAGACAGAACATGAGTCCTAACATGAGGTTAAGACTACAAACATGACAAGAGAATTAACATATAACGTACCTTGGATGTGGTTGATAGGGTGATTGTGTTGGAGGATCTGGTCTGCCAATTTCTGGGCGGTGGGTAGCACCTCCGTATGGTGCTCACTGATCAGGTACTGCATCATTTTCTGCAACTGCTGCCGGTCCATCTGCAGCAGCGTCTCTGTGGCGGCAACATACAACCAGGTCACACATCTACACCAACTCAGGAATAACAGCAAATAATCCGAGAGTGAGGAGAACTCAAAGTAACAAGGACTGATCTAGAGTGACTTAACGTGGGCATCCAGGTACTAACTCTCATAGGTATCCAGCCACTAACACTCACCTAAGATAAATATTGTGGAACTGATCGGAGATGGAAGTTCTGGAAGTAACACTGACCTGAGATGGGTATCCTGACAGTAACACTGACCTGAGATGGGTATCTTGGCAGTAACATTGACCTGAGATGGGTATCCTGGCAATAACACTGATTTGAGATAGGTATCCTGGCTGTAAGACTGACCTGAGGTGGGTATCCTGACAGTAAGACTTACCTGAGATGGGTATCCTGGCAGTATCACTGACCTGAGATGGATATCCTGGCAGTATCACTGACCTGAGATGGGTATCATGGCAGCATCACTGACCTGAGATGGGTATCCTGGCAGTATCGCTGACCTGAGATGGGTATCCTGGCAGTATCACTGACCTGAGATGGGTATCCTGGCAGTAACACTAACCTAAGATGGGTATCCTGGCAGTAACACTGACCTGAGATGGGTATCCTGGCAGTAACACTGACCTGAGATGGGTATCCTGTAGTAACACTGACCTGAGATGGGTATCCTGAGGTGGACGGTGTCGGCGTGGCGGATGCGGTGGAGGGAGAGAGCTACCACGTGCGGACACCAGAAGATATCACGTGTGTCGCACGAACACGTCACAGACGTGATTTTGCATCTGAAAATTACAAACAAAATAATTATTGGTCAAGAACCAAAGACTGGAGTAAGAAGTAGAGTGGTAACACAAGCACTCCTAATACATGTTATGTTACAGCTTACACATTAGTGTCACAGTGATAACAATCCTTCTCTCTCTCTCTCTCTCTCTCTCTCTCTCTCTCTCTCTCTCTCTCTCTCTCTCTCTCTCTCTCTCTCTCTCTCTCTCTCTCTCTCTCTCTCTCTTTCTCTCTCTCTCTCACGCACACAAACATCTTCAAAGGAACCTCGAAGATATCTGTATGAACGCACGAAAGCAATCACGAGTTCTATAGTGAATCCTTGTTATTGTCTGCGTTCAACACATTGGCAACCTAAACCTGCCTCCATCCCTGGTCACCTAAAGTGCAGGTGACCGGTTTGAAGGTGCAAGTCGTCAGTAGTGATGGTAAAACATAAATATACAACTCTCCCTGAAGAAACTGTATGAATTCCTTCTTAACAAGGCTGTCAGAGCCACGAGAGCATAAGAGACCAAGGATTTTTTTTTCATAATCTCAGCCCACTCTACTAATCACAGCTACATCTTAAACTAACATAATTTCTATTGAATTAAAAAAATGACAATATATACAATTATACAATCACTAGGTTCGCTACCTGTACCCTGGAGAAACACCTTATATTCAGGTGAGATCCCAGAAGTCCTAATTAGGATTGTGTACACAACCCCGCTTAACAAATAAGACAGCACACCGGCACACTGCCATAACCACTTACTATAGTGTCAGGAATAGAAATAAACAAATACAGCGAAAAGACACGGGGTGCCATATGTACAATTAGAGAACACTGTATCAATATCCGTGGTCCAAAACTCTAAAACCTCCTATCAGACAATACAAATATATATATTGCTGGAACAAAGTAGAGGCTTTCAAGAGGGAACTAGACCAATTCCTGTCGGAGGTGCCTGATCAGTCAGACTGTGATGGCTCTGTCCGCCTGAAGACTGTAGGTATCATAGCTCGAGTGATTAGGCGACCAATAAAGCTTGCAGAGAAACACTGAAGTGTTCATAGGGATATAACTTACACGCAGACAGTCAGTTATATCAACAACTTATAACTGACACCCCACACCTGCATTTCAGGCTTTCCACACATGTCCCTCAGGCTGTCAAAGCTGCCACAAAGACCATCCAAAGCTGCCACACAGGCCATCCAAACATGTCACACAGGCCATCCAGAGACCACCCACACCACCCACAGACCACCCACACCACCCACCAGTAACAAATTAGTGAACTAATGAGTGAACCTCAGAAGAGAGTCAGCCACAAGCAAACATTAGATTGCTAACTACCTTGTCACGCCCACCCTCCGCCCACGAACCGCCCCGGGACCCGTCTGGTGGGCGGCCTGGGTGGTTGGTGGTTTACTCCTTACCTTGTTGAGTAGAGCACAGAATCAATGACTGTCTCATCAGAGTCACAAACACAGCGTAAGAGCATTTATTTTTGCAATTATTCCAGTTCTTCAAGCAAGCAATAACAAGAACACTACTAAACCTGCACCCTGTGTATGACTGAAGAAGCCTACTGTGTAGGCGAAACGTTTCAACAATAAAGATATCCAACGGCTGTACATATGTCTTACTCATCCACTAAACTGTGTAAGAACACAAATGTTTACTTGTTGGCGGTGCGGGGATAATCTCCCCCGCGGCCCGTTCCTATGCCAGGTCTGGTTCAAGACCTGATGAGCCAGGCTATTGGTTGTAGGTGGGCTAACAGCAGCACGCAGTCCAAAGTAAGCACCACAGCCCGGCTGATCTATAGCTGTTTGGAAGAACCTGTCAGGTTCCCTGCTGAAGTGAGCCACAGGTATATTGGTGATTTTCCCTTATATTTAATGGTAGAGTGTTGAAAAGTCTTGGACCCTCCACACTTACTGAGATATTTTTTAAGTATGATTGTTACATTTGTTCCACCTCCATTAGAGAAAATGAAACTTTCATGGCAACAAAGAAATGAAGGAAATTCTGAGGACACAATACGACGTGGTGTTCACTGGCCATTAAATAGACAAAAGATTGACAACCTCGATGAATTTTTCATTTATGCAATACGAAACTCAGCCAACATTTCTGGAATAACCTGAATTTCCGCTAGACTTCAAAAATGTATGCCCATGCATTAAGATTCACAGAACTTTATATTCATAAAAAGTCAATATAACTAAGTTATCACTGGTCTTGATTATCCCAGGAAGAAAGTGTAGATACAGCCATCATTTACACATTTGAGAACAACACGACGCTCCTGTCTCTGGCATCTACTACAGTCTAGACCACTACGACAGTCACCAACATGCTGACATAATATAAAAGGAAATTCGTGTTAGCTCACAAAATGCGTGCAAAATTGTCATAACTGCACACGCAGAAAGATGTATCTACAACTTTGTTACAACTCAGATCCAAAGAGTAATCAACAAAGTAAAATTCCGAGGCTACCACAGTGAAGAGTTCTTGTTCCACAAGACAATACTCACCCAGATTCTCTTTGACATTCACATCTTCCACGAAGTCACAAAATCATAACTACCAGGTTACCTGTAGCACTAACAGTTCTCGCACACTAGACTGTGTATGAGTGTGACATCCATTAAGGACACATCAAACCTCCAAAATGATGTAAACCAAATATTGAATTAGGTCAGAGAGAATATGTTTAAAGAGGGCAAATTAAACCTGCTCAGTTATGAACTTTTTTAGTAATAACTGAAACAGAGCAGAAAAGGGATGCGAGGAACTTAGGACTAGATAACCCACCTGGTAGGTGGGATAACAAGAGTGATGATAATGATGATACTCTTTAAGGTACTTGCATTCTGCACTAATGGAATACTGTTGTACACTAACAGCTTCTTTTAAGGGAGACGAAATTTGGGATCTGCAAAATTTAAAGAACTTTCATTGTTCATATCACTTCAAGCAACTATTTACCGGAATGCCTAAAATCCCTCAACTTGTATTCAGTCTAATGCAAGTGAATATTATATATTATAATTTATACCTGGAAGATGCTGGAGGGATTGATTCATAATCTAAACACATAAATTGCTCCTTATAAGAAAGGGAGACAAAGCAGATATCTCGTTATTCATAAAGCGTCAGGGGATTTTCAATACCCTCTCTTCAAAATTAAGGGAATTATCAATATATCTCTAACTTCTTAAACTGCTCTCTGATCAACCGGGCTGTGGTGCCTATGTCTGATTGCATGCAGGGAGCACCAACAGTCTGACTAGTCAGGCTCTTACAAGGAAAGCCTAGTCCGAGATCGGGCAGTGGAGCAATGATCCTCAGTATCATCTCCAGTTAAACATCAAGTTAAGAGGCGCGCGAGTTTCCGTTTCCTAATATCATGTTTATGTTTCCCCTATAATCTACCTTATACCTTTATACTTTTGAAGAGTTTCGAGAGTTTTACTACTCTCGGGAGCCCGGCCATGGGCCAGGCTCATCTGGTGCTTGCCAGGTCAACCAGGCTGTTGCTGCTGGAGGCCCGCTGCCCACATATCCATCAAAGCCTGATTTACGTGACACCTGGTAAAGATACTTGTCCAGTTTCCTCTTGAAGGCTTCTACGCTTGTTCCAGAAGGGTTTCTGATATCTTCTGGTAAGATGTTGAATAGTCTGGGACCCCGGATGTTGATACAGTGTTCCCTTATTGTCCCCACTGCACCCCTGCTCCTCACTGGGTTTATTTAACACTTTCTCCCATATCTCTCACTCCAGTATGTTGTTATGGCAGTGTGCAGATTTGGAACCAGGCCCTCGAGTACTTTCCAGGTATATATTATCATGTATCTTTCTCTCCTCCTCTCCAATGAGTACATGTTTAAGACTTGAAGACGCTCCCAGTAATTTAGGTGCTTTACTGGCTCACTGTGAGCCGTAAACGATCTCTGTATTTGTTCCAGCTCTGATATTTCTCCTGCTTTGAACGAGGCCGTCAGCACTGAGCAATATTCTAAATGAGGGAGCACTAGCGATTTCAAGTGTCACCATCGGCATTATTTCCCTTGTTTTGAAAGTTCTCTTCATCTTCGTTATCTTCCTGGCTGTCGTGATATTTATCTTGTTATGGTCTTAAAAAAAAAAGGTCAACTGACATAATTATTCCCAGGTCTTTTACATGATCCTTTCGTTCTATATAGTGACCCTCTTGAATTTTTGTATATAGTGTTCCTTTTGAGTTCATATTTTCAATATAGTTATACCGTATATAAACCAGCACCAGCAGTTGCTGATGCTGGTTTATATACTAGGATAATTACCAAATTCCTATTTTTCAACTTTAATGCCTAAGATTTCTACTATATCATTCGTAGAGTTCAGCATTTCTGTGCAACAGAAAGTAGCTTTTACATAGTCTTACTCCTCCCTGTGACCTATTAATTCTATCACATCTATAAATGTTATAGTTTTCTGTCTTTATCTATCCGTCCACAGTCACCCACACTCGCATTTGCTTTGTCTGCTTTCGTAAAGTGTCCTCAAAAATTTAAGTTATACCATGAATTAAGGAAAGATCCTGGACTTCACCTTACGAAAGCAGACAAAGCAAATACGATAGTAATTATGGACAAGGTAGATTATAGCGGAAAAATAACATATTATTAGAAAACAGGGTAACTGACGTGTATCCTCTTCTGCGTGTTCCTCTCCTAGCAGCCAGCTGTCTCAACCCTGACACTAAGATAATACAAAACCTGTAGATACAAGCAGCGAGCAGGCCGGAGTCGGTCGATACCAGTGAAGACATGCAACACCTCCCTTCAACACCCATCCCCCCCCTCCCTTTTTCCTCACTCATCCTTCATACTGCAAGTGCCTGATCAACTTGGTAGCAGCTTGAACAGTCGTGGACACCAATTGTGCCTATGACCCCAGGTTTTCGCTGGATACTGTTTACACTTCCCCCAGTGTCTCTCACTCCAGTAAGTTGT